TCAGCAGGTAAGATAGCTTAAAACTGCAAGATAAACTTAAGGGTAGCAGGACTGTAAAAACTGGAAAAAGGAAAGAAAGCAAAGAAATTATTAACTGAATAGGTATGTAGACCCAGATAAACAAGCAACAATGTAAAAAGTCAGAGTCCCTCTGAGATTTGTTTTAAAATCTCTTCTTAAGGCTCTTGATAATGATCAGGAGTTCTAGTATGCCTGTTTTCCACTTATTTGGATCATGAGTGTTTGCATACACATTCATCATCACTTTTACATTGTTAGTTACTAAGAAATTGGAAGCGTAAAGTCTAAGTCTGAGCTGCTTCTATTTGTGGTTGTTAATGTAAACATTGTCAAGAAATTCTCTTTACTATATGTTAAAGGATTAAAATAAGCTATACAACAAAACTGTCCAACTGCTCCCAAAGTAAAAAAGAGAGCATGGAATACTCTGAACTGCTGTGGAGATGAAGGTACTTAAAGCTAGTATCTACAAAGTTGTGAGGTCTCTGGCCTGTGATACAGGAACTTGAATCCCCCCCCCTTTCCTTTCCCCTTTTCATGTTTTGTCCAACAGCTGCTGCAGCCACAGTTTTTAGGTCTTCACAGACAAGCAAGCCACAGATAGATCCATCCAAACAGCAAAAACAGAATGAAGAAGAGGTGGTCAGTGTGGTACAAGGAGAACCAGAGACTCTCAGTCCAAAGGAGGAGAAGCGACTACAGGAGGTTATTTCTAGGTAATAGCAGATTATTAGTACATAGCAGTTGTAGGGGTTTCTGGGGTGTAAGCATGTGTGGGTTTTTGAGTCTTTGACCATGTGGATCCCATTGGTGGAACACATGCTCCTTGCCATTTAAGTCACATCAAGTACAAATTTCGGAGGGTTAACAATAGATTATTGTGAGCAACTTATTTTAGCAGTGGTGTTGAAGCTCTATGGGGATAAAGTCTTCAACTGAGTTGTCATTGTGTATTGCAGTGGGCACAAACAGAAGTACAGATTAATTCAAAGGAAAAACTCAGGACTAAAGTGTACTGCACTGCACCTTACTAGGCATAGAATACAAAAAGTAGTAGTTTAGCTACAGAGAAGGATATTATCTTGTGGAGCGAAGATTCAATGGACCTGCTTGCCATGTTTCCATTTCCCGCTTGTGAAATAAGTTTATCTACCTGTACCACCAAGCTCTTGATAACTGTAATCCATGTTTACAAATGTTTTGGTGAGGTAAATGCAATAAATGCTTTTTGCTATACCGTAAAATCTCGAGTATAATGCACACCTATGCATAATGCGCACCTACCTTTTAAACATCAGAAACCCTGAATAAACTGAACTCTTATCTATAGTGTGCACCCCAACTTTGCTGTATGTTGTCTTGCCTTTTTGTATTGCTGGGTATATAGTGAGCACACGAGTATATAGTGCACGGCGTTCCATGCTCTCTTTGGGATGCCATGAGTTGTCGGCGATCTTACACGACCTCTGAAAAACTGAAAGTTGTTAGCTGTGCTGAGGCTCATGGCAACAGAGCTGCCAGCCATGAATTTGATGACATAGCGGAGTCTAACATTTGGCTTTGGAGACGACAGAAAGAGCCCCTGCAAGCGCTGCCTAGGATGAAGATGGCTGAGCGAGGTAAAAGCACTGCATATCCTGAGTTGGAGGCCAAGCTGGTTGAATGGATTGCTGAGCATAGACAGCAAGGTGGTGGTGTTAGCATTGCGGAGGTTAGAATGAAGGCTTTGACCATACCAAAACGTGCGCTAACACAGCTGGGTTTAAAGCTTCATATGGCTGGGGTGATTGGTTCATAAATCGCCATGGCCTATCAGCTCGACACCGAACAACAATCGCGCAGAAGCTACCAATGGACACAGACACCAAGTTACTGCAGTTCCAAAACTTTATCATAAAGCTATAGAAGCAGCACTGCTACGACCTTTCATTAATTGGTAACGCAGATCAGACACTATTAAATTTCGATAATCCCTACGACAGAACGCTTGAACTGAAAGGTGCCAAGACAGTCTCCATTGCTACCACAGGCCATGAAAAGTCTAGGTTTACCGTAATGCTTGCTTGCATGGCCGATGGAACGAAGCTGCCTCCTTATATTGTGTTAAAGCGCAAGACAATGCCAAGGAATGTAATCTTCTCGAACAGTGTTCAAATGAGTGTTCACCCTAAAGGCTGGATTGATGAAGCTTTAATGCTTGATTGGCTACAGACAGTTTGGGTGAAGCAGCCAGGTGGACTTATGAGAAAGCGGTCTCTAATAGTTTTGGATGCATTTCGGTGTCATCGTATGCCATCTGTCAAGAAAAGGCTTCCGCAGGACAAAACAGACTTGGCAATTATTCCTGGTGGACAATCAACAAGCCAATGAAAGAGGCACCATGCAAGAAATGGAACACCTGGTTGTTGGAAGGTGAACATACATTTACTGCGGGTGGATGTATGCGAACACCAATGCTGCAAGATGTTACTCAATGGATAGCAGATGTCTGGCTTGAACTTGATCCCGCTATGATAAGGAAGGGGTTTCTGAAATGCAGCATCTCTAATGCCATGGATGGCAGTGAGGAGGATGCCCTGTGGATGGATCCGAGCGACGTGAATTACCGGTATGCGAAGATGACAATGATTTTTATTACCTGGATGAAGATGTCGAAGACCATACCCCGGAAGATATTGCTCAACTGTTTGAGGAAGATTCTAACAAAAGCGAATTTGAGGGCTTCGAAGATGAGTAGATGATCAATTAACATATTGGTATTTGCTTCTTTGCGCTGCAGTGTTGATTTCATTTGTTTAACTTACCTTTTTGAATAAGGTAAGCAACTGTGTATATAAGCAACTGTGTATATAGTTGCTTGTTGATGCTAATAATCAACTTAACCTCTGGTGTCCTGCGATTAATTAGTTGCCGCAGAACTGCCAAATGAAAACTTAAAAAAAAAACCTCCTATGGATAATGTGCACCCTGACTTTAATGCTAAAAAAAGCCGGGAAAAAAGTGTGCATTATACTCGAGATTTTACAGTAGTATCACAAGGGAAATGGTTTAATTTATTCATTAATTGTGATCATTTTTCTAGAGAGGAAAGAGAAGTCTGTCATCAAATGACATCTCCAGTACTTTCACTGCCAAGTCATATTAGATCTAAACAAGCTCAGGTACCACCAGCCTCCTCCAACCCTTTCCTGGTGAACGTCCTCCCTTCCCACATCCGGAAACCACCTACATTGGAAGAGTGTGAGATTGTCATTCATCAGCTATGGAACATCAATCACATGCAAGCACAGGAGGTGAGGCTGTTTCAGCCCAGGCTCACTATTTTATTCACAGCTTTTAAGATATGGTATGTTTGTGGTGGTGAAATAGAAAATAGATTTTCAGAGGCAAGTAGAAAAGTTATTTTCTCCTCTCTGTCCTTTAGCTAATGTATTTGAAATCCTATCTGGAGGACATCCACAAGAACAAAAGGATTCCTGAAGATTATCTGCTAGCCAGCCAGATTGGGTAAGCTGTTTTGAGTTACGGTTTCAAGGCTAGGCTATGGGCCAGATTCTAGCTGAGTCCACTGGTTCCCTTTCTATTTTGTAATAACGTGAATTTGCAGAATAGAGGCCGTATGCAAGATACCTAGATAGAGGCTGTTAGCAAGCTTTTTGACACTTTAGGGCTTCCCTCCTTAAGTCACAAGGGAAAGTTAATTTTGAGACACCCTTGCCCCTATCAAACTTTCCAAAATGTGACCTGTTAATCTGAGGTGAGAGGGTTTTAATGATATATGCCTTTATGTATGTCTACACACAAGGGGCCCCTGTGTGCTATATTATAACAAGATTACTGCACACAGCTGTTAACACCACTAACGCAAATGGAGGTAAGTGTCCATAAAACAAGGTACAGAGAAGACATGTCAGTTTGTTCTGTCAGAGCACTTAGGTTCATTTAGCAGGGCAAGCGTGGACCAGTCAAGGAGGTGTTGGCACATGGTTAACAGTCTTCCACAAAGGAGATTTCTGAGAGATTCAGAGGACCCGTGCTTCACTGGCTTATGTTTAAGGAAAACAATCATATATAGAGTGATGATATGTGCAGACCTCATTTGGGTTGAGGGCTGTATTGTAGCAGGCAGTATATTGTAAGTTCTTCAGGGCAGGAACTGTTACTGTCTAAACAATGAAAATGAGCAAGAGATTACTAGGGCAAAAGAGATCCTGGGTTCTCTTCCCTCCCCCCCATTATTGCCACAACAGTTCTCCAGTTATACTCTGGGAGGATGATCAATAAGTCTATTAGAGTAGCATTTGCTGCAGCCAATTAACAAGGGGTGCATATTCAAAAGATTCCAAAATATCATCTAGATTGGTCTGAATACCAGAGGTCATTAAACTTTACCATGTTACCCCTATTATTGCACCAGCAACTTGTTTGACTAAACATCTTTTCCAGAAAAGGTATCAACACATAGAGAATCCATCATTTCTGTTGTTAGTTTGTTCTCATAGTTAATCATCCTTGCTGTTACAAAATTTTCTGTGTTCAACTTGCAGCCCTGGGTTCTTGTTATACCTTTCATTGCTAATTGACGAGCCCTGTATGTGGTATTTTCACTTTGTGAAGGTATTTGTGCACTATAATTTAGTCACCTCAGACTGAGGAGCTAAACAACTAAGCTTTTTAAATCTTTTTCTCCAGATCTTTAATCATTTTGACTTCTTTCTACACCCCCTCCAATTTTCTCATCTTTTTTAAAAACATAGATATCAGAACTATAGAGGCATTTCTACGGAATATTCCCTACTACTCCCATGCATACTTCCAAAGATTGCACCGTAGAGCTCTTCCACAGCATTGTATGGGGAGCGCATGTTGAGTTGCATGATTCTTATATCCTTTTCACAGGCACTGCTTTCTAGGATGCAATCCCCAGTTCTATAAGTATGGCTTATATTCTTTGTTCCTAAACGTATAGCTGTTTATTTGGCTGTATTAAGGTGCATTTTGAATGAATGGTCCCAGTTTATCACACGAGCCAGATACTATTGTATGACAGATGTATCCAGGTGCTATTGTGAAGCTATTCCTGTTCTCCAAGTTCAGCATTTACATGCAGCAAGATTACATTGTTTTCAAATATAAATTACACAGACTCAACTCACACAATCTGTGCTCTGCTACTATTCTACAGAATAAAGTAGCCAAGGTATCACATCTACAAATATTTTTTGCTTTAGGAATAAAGAAGTTTCACGGTTACCCAGAATGCTAAAAGATACAGCTAAGAAATGGTAAGTACTTCTACTTTCTTTAGAGACTAACACGCTTCATGAGAAGCCATGCTAGCTACATCCACTGAGCCAAGCATGTGATACCTTTAGCAAATATTATTACATCATGAAGTAAAAAAAAACAACCCTATTATTGGTTCCCCCATCTTTCACCCCAACTCCATCATCAGCTATAAGATTTTCCCCACTTCTTTTGATCACCATTGCCTAAAGGTCAATCCATATGCCCCACTCAGAACAGATTTTAGATTTCAGATTTTAGAAGAGATCACTGCAGCTATCTGGCTTATTTCTGTGCCCTAGTATTATCACAGAAGAATCTGCACAAAGTGTCAAATCATTTAGGCAGTGTTTACAAAACGAGATTTAGGTCAAATTTTTTTTTTAGCACTCAGTTTTGTAAAGCTGAAAGTGTATGTCCACACTGGGTGCAAGAGATCGACATAGTGCACCCCCAGTACAGTAGCTACCTTTGACTATGACAGCGATGTCCTGTGGATAACTCTCTCGGTTCCTGCCACCCCTTTTCATTATAGGTTAGACTTCCAGTGCCTGAGAGGACAAAACACAGTGCAACCAGTTGTTCATGATACATATTGTCAGCTGCCCCTGGTACACTTATCTTCACCCTCCCCCACTTGATGGCAATTGCAAACAGTGTTTTTGCGCCCACTTTCTCCTGGTTATCTGTGCAGGCGCCATAGCAGGGCAAGCATGGGCCATGTTCAGCTTCAAACTGCTGTGGCAAGAACACCTCACACTTTCTGCAGTGGTATGTCCAGGGCCTAGCCAGGAGCCAGGAAGAATGTAAGGAGGGTTTGAACACAGACATGTATGAAACCATTCAGTGGAACAACTGGCAGATGCTGGAAACATTCAATCCCGTTGGCACAGTGCCATGCCAGTTTTAGTACCGTGAGACAAGCTGGTGGGACTGCTTAGTTATGCAGTTGTGGGACAATGAGCAATATCAGACAGCTACCAGTCAGCTGGGAATTAATTTGGTCTGGGTAAATATACAGTAGGGACTGCTGTAATTCAAGTAGCCAGAGGAAGTGAGCAGCAGACTCAACTGTAGCACTCACTGTAATGAAAAAAAATGGACAGACTTAGAATGCAAAAGTTAATCTCTTGCCGTGGATGAATGTCTGTCCAAAACTATAAGCGTGTGTTATGTACAAGTGCAAAGTTAATGTTTAAGCACCGAATAGGCAGCAGGTACAACACCCATCTTGGGGGAACAGCTGGACATGGTATGGCAGGTATGGTAAGGAACAGGCTGGGACTCTTGCTCTTTTGCTTCTGCTTTGAAAGCATGAGTGACCCAGTGGCTGCAAATTGCAGCTCCCAGTGAGGAAAGGTCAGCATTTGTAAAGAGGGTCCCCGGGCACAAGAGGCTGTGCTGGTGAGGGAGATGCAGTTGTGGTTTATGTAGTCACAGTGTGTTCAGCACCTCGTTTCCCTTGAGTGCCAGGGCGGAGGCTCACGTGGCCAGCAAACCATGCTTTGCTGGGGATGAGCACACAGGTATAGTGCCCTGGTATCAATTAGTTAGTTTTCCCTTCTTCATCCAGGTCATCCTGTGCGATATCAGTTTTCTCCGACTCACAGAGGGACAGGTAGCAGATGCCGACTGAATGGGGCCAGAAACCTGGACCCTGTGCTGCAATGACACCAGACCTCTTACTGCTGGCTTCGCATGGCGAGGTGTCCTACAGTGCAGGGTGGAATAAGACAGGCGTCCCCAGAAACCTTGTGAGAAAGATTCAGAGATCTCATCTAGAGAGTTTTTCAGAGATGTGCAGGGAGGAATCCAGCTCCATCTCCACAGCCATTAAACTGTTCCAGGGAGCCCCCGCTGTGTAGGCAGATCATACCCAGTTGTCATAACCTACTTGGTAGCATGATTAAAAATGTGAATTGTCCTCCCTGTCACGAGTGTCCGGGAGTAACACATTCTGTGAGGAGGGGATTGGCTCCAGAGTTGACAAGGTCCTGGCTGTCGGTGGCCTGCTGACCATTCTTCTCCTCAACAATGTCCTCCCCATTGTTACCCAAGGCTGCCTGAAGAGTCTCTTGGGAAGTATCCACAGATGCTTGTGGGACACTGGGCGGGTCCCTGCTAAAATTCCAGGCAGCTGCTCATAGAAGCAGCATGTTTGCAGCTCTGGCCCAGACTGTCCATTTGCCCTGTGGAACTCCTGCCTGAGCTCCTTTACTTTCAAATGACACTGCTGGGAGAACCTGGTGTGTCCTGTTTCCACCATGCCCTGAGTGATTTTGACACAGTAGCAGCATTTCTTCGGCTGCTTCATAGGTCTGAGTTCAGAAATTTACTTTAACTGCCCTTAAAAGTCAGTGGAATGGGCTTGATGTTGTGATCTCATTGTTTAGCAAAAATCAATCTAATGTGTCTAAGTTCAACCTAAAGTCGTAGTGTAGACCAGCCTATTTCTTTGAGGTTTACTTTTGCATATCCACAGATTCTTCTCTAGCTCCCCCTTTAGAATGATTTGCTGAGAGTCAACTGCAAGGATAGGTTCTGCCCATAACATTACACACATGTATTGCCGCTGAGGAAGCAATCAGCAATTTTAGAGTGTAGTGGGATTTAAAGCAGTACTGTGTTTTGTAAGAATTGCATAAAAGGGAAATAGAAAAGTAATGCTCTCATCTTCCACAGTCATTTGAACAAGACAAATAGTTGGATTAGATTGTAATTATTTACAGAGAAACAGGTATGCAATAAAGTCATACAAGCCCTGCCATGAAACACAAAAGCTCAGTTCAGAACTCATCCTGTGAATAGGGTTTCTCCATTCCACCAAGTCAGAGATTACAAAGCCAATTAAAGTTTTCCACCTATGAAATAATGGGAGGAATAAAGATTCTAGATTTTCCAGCAGCTGCAACCACAACACAAACCCATTAAAACACACAAGTGACAGATACAGGTATGTCCCTTTAAAAAGCTGAAGTGAATTGTGGTTATTGGTAAAGGTTTTTCTGCAAGTTAGACTGCAGGATCCCCATTTCATGTAAAAGTTTATGGGGGTATTGAATAAAAAATCAGGTCTCTGCTTTAGCTGTTCATTAACTACCTGAAGACAGGACTAGTCTCTTCTTTTAACATGAGATGTTAGCTACTCAAAACAGAGGAAGAAACCCAATTTCATGTACAGGCAGTCCCCAGGTTACGTACAAGATAGGGACTGTAGGTTTGTTCTTAAGTTGAATTTGTATGCAAGTCAGAAATGGTACATATTGTAGGGGAAACTCTAGCCAAACATTTCTCCAGAGCTCAGTTTTATTCCCCCACACCTCACTTCCCTCAGTCCTTTATTCTCAAGCTGAGGTGTCTGCTGAGAAAAGCCGCTCCACATCTCCCTGGTCTGCTGGGGAGGGGCGCTAGCTTCGCGTCTCCCTGGTCTGCTGGGGGGAAGCAGCTCGTGCAGGGTTGCCTCATCCCGTTTGTAAGTAGGGATCCGATGTAAGTCGGATCCATGTAACCCGGGGACTGCCTGTACTCAGTGTTACAGGAAAACTGAATTCTGAACTTGGATTTTAGCAAGTAATGAGCCATTCCCACTTAAAATACCTATCTGACACACAGCACTTTTCATCTGTTGATCTCAAAGCATTTTACAAAGGTCAGTATTACTGCCTTCATTTTACAGAAGGCAATGGGAAAATGTCTAGCTGAAGGACTGTTATCAAAAAGGCTGCTATGTTTCTAAATGATCACTAGCAGGACACACACACTCAAGTCTCATGGCACTTGTATTGAAAACCACTTCTTTTCCTCATTTTACTAGAGAAATGTAAGCACACTGAACGGTAGAGAGAGTTCTTACCACAGAAATTTCAGTCAATGCAACAGAGTGCTGTTAAGTCAACATGTAGAATCACTGGGATGACTAATGTGAAGAGTAACCCTAATGCAGGAGACCTTGGTTAAGGAGGAAGTGATTTTAAATCACATTGCCAATCATCCTTTGTCCCACTCTTCTCTCCAGCTTGATTTTAACTCCACTGCCAGCTGCTGAAAGGGCAGTTCTGCCAGCACTGAAGCAAACACTGGGAAACAGATTTGCTGAGAGACAGAAGAGAACTCAAGCTATTCAGAGAAGCCGTCTTCGTCGGACTGTGCTTTAGTCTGGTTGTTTAGTGACCGCATTACACATCTCCTCAAGTGATCCAGTAGCTATAGCACTCCCAGTACGTGTTTGAGTGTACATTGCAGTTTCAACATAGATTGGTTTCCTACTATTTCCCCCCATTTCAAGTAAAAATGAATTATGAAATCAGAGTCATTTATTCAGAAACAAAGGAGCTACTTTTCTTTTGTTGCAGCCTTGCCTCATTCATAAATGGTTTCTGTGGGTACCACTCTATTAGTTCCTTCAGAACTAAATTGAGAGAGTTAATTTAATGATGAAAGCCTGTAAGATTGCTGTTTGATAAGCATGCAATTTATCAAGCATGCCACAAACTTCTTTAAAAAACAGGACTATGTAGCACTTTAAAGACTAACAAGATGGTTTATTAGGTGATGAGCTTTCGTGGGCCCACGAAAAGCTCATCACCTAATAAACCATCTTGTTAGTCTTTAAAGTACTACATAGTCCTGTCTTTTGTTTCAGCTACACCAGACTAACACGGCTACATTTCTATCACAAACTTCTTTAGTTTGTCAGACTGTTTAAAAGCAACATACGTTTATATTTTATGTAGATACAGGCTGCAGTTTTACAAACAACACTAAATCACTGCTGATCCATCCATAGAAAAGCTGGAATCTACATGCTACATTGTGAGACTAGCCAGAACAAGATTTCACACCCTTCCATGGCTTTTAGGTGAGAAATAACCAGTTTAGTAGTCTTTTATCAGAAAAAATTCTGATGCAGATCTAGAACCCACTGATTAGCAGCAAGAGGCAGTCGAAATTACGGGGGCTCAGATATTATGCTGCTCTAGGTTGCTTATTTTTTACTCAGAATCTGTAACATTCCATAATTTCATCTTTGCTGTGGGCCAGTTTCCATTTCACTCACAGCAACATAGCACTGACTACACTGCAAACTAATATATGTATAGCCAGGTATGCAAAATCTCCTATTCCAGGCTACTGCAATGCATCACAATCTTATTCCCAATGGAGTGGTCCTATGTTTGTTGGCACCACAGTAACAGATACCTTAAAAATGTCTAAGAATGAGTGTCTGTGTTCATTCAGCTTCAGATGGGTAGCTGAGTTCGCTGTTTAAGTTTTTCCAGTTACAGACTGGAATAGTTAAAAGAGGCTGGTAAGAACCATTAGTTTGCACTAGGAAAGGAAAAGTACTAACAACAGATTCTACTCAGACATCAAGAACCACTGGCACCTTCATTGTTTGATTGTTGATAATGTGCAAGCTATCCAATATTGCGATTTAAACCATTTTCATGAGTTAAACTTGAGAATGAAGTGGAGTTCCAATCCTTCTGTGTGTATTTGGCTTGTGGAATTGGTCTGAAACAAAACAGCAACATGGAGGGAGATCCATTAATGAGTGTCCAGGGAGGTTAAAGTGTTCCCCAACAGGTTTCTGTGTGTTGCCTTTTCGGATATCTGATTTGTGTCCATTAATTCTTTCCCATAGGAATTGTCTAGTTTGTCCAATATATATTGGGTTAGGAGGTTGTCTATAAGTGAGAATAGGGCCTTTTCCCCCAAGGCCTCTGAGAGTGAGGAGTCATTTTCCAAGATAGATTGTAGATTGTGGATAATGCATTGGAGGAGTTTAAGTTGAAGACTGTAGTAATAAGTGGAATTCTGTTTTCTCTCTTGGGCCTCTCTTAAAGTAGCTCATGTCTGGGTACTTTTTTGGCTCTGTCAATCTGTTTTTTCACTTCTCCAGATTGGTATTTCAATTTTAGGAATGCTCTGTATAGTTCCTGTAGGTGTTTCTCTCTGTCTGTGAGCAGTTATCAGCCTCTTTTTTGTTGTTTTTTAAGTTTTTCCTGTTATAGACTGGCTCAGCTGTCCATTTTAAACTTATCTACCCAATGTCCTAATCTCCCTCCCCCTTTCCTTATTTATTCTTGGTTCTGGACTTCCAACACTCCAGTCATCTGCAGAAGTGGACTATGCCCACAAAAGCTTATGATACCATCTACATGTTTTGTTAGTCAACAAAAAATGGTCTGGCAGCATTTTATAAACTTGATTTACAGGAAAAACTTAAAGTTCCAAAGCTTCCCTGTGTATTTGGCTTATGGCCTGAAACAAGACAGTGACTGTAAGCTCCATTAATGAATGAGGTCTGTGGAAAGGTTTGCATTGAACTTAGTGGGCCACGGGCCAAAAGGCTTGAGAACCACTAATCTAAAACCTTGCCTATGAAAGTCCCTATCTACAGTTGCACAGCCTTCTCACACAAGAGGGACCTTTGCTGAGGCTCCTGGAGATAAGAAGGTCTTATCAGCCTCTCATGTCAGAGAAGGTGCCAAAGCATTCTGTCATTGGAGCTTTAGACCAGGGCTGATTTCAGGGGTGGGTTCCTGGATGATTACGATGGAGGTGTGTTGCATGGGTACTGGAAATAATTTGTTTGAGGTTAGGTGTTTGTCTGTAGGCAAGGTCTGGCCTTTTCCCCAAGGCCTGAGAGAATGAGGGGTCTTTTTTCAGGATCACCATTTCCATGGTCACCAACCCATGAATCGCAATCAACTGGTCGATTGCGAGGCCTCAACCAGTCGATTGCAAGGTGTTCCAGGCCCCCCATTTACCCCCACCTCTAAGAAGACCCACTACCTACCTCCAGCAATAATGGAGGTAGTGGCAACTTCCCGCGGAGTGGATGGAAGTCTTGTAGATGCGCATCACTTCTGGGGGTTCTGGAAATGCACTGGCTGCTTCCTTGCGGAAACTTACTGGGGGAGTCCCCAGAGATGCGCGCACGGATGCCCCTTGGCTGCAGGAGGGGGGAGTTGGGCCCAGAGGGGACGTGTGTGTGGGCTTCCCTGCTCTGTGGGAGGCATGCACCGGCCCTGGAGAAAGCACATGATGGGGCTTCCTTCCGCCACAGGAGGGGCCGGGGGTCAGCCCTGGAGGGGCCACATGTGTGGGCTTCTCTGCTCTGTGGGATGCGTACGCGCAGGCCCCGGAGAAGGTG